AGCCACGGCAATCAGACAAAACAAAGAAATACAAGGAATCCAGATTGGTAAAGAAGAAGTTAAACTGTCACTATTTGCAGATGATATGATACTGTACATAAAAAACCCTAAAGACTCCACTCCAAAACTACTAGAACTGATATCGGAATACAGCAAAGTTGCAGGATACAAAATTAACACACAGAAATCTGTAGCTTTCCTATACACTAACAACGAATCAATAGAAAGAGAAATCAGGAAAACAATTCCATTCACCATTGCATCAAAAAGAATAAAATACCTAGGAATAAACCTAACCAAGGAAGTGAAAGACTTATACTCTGAAAACTACAAGTCACTCTTAAGAGAAATTAAAGGGGACACTAATAAATGGAAACTCATCCCATGCTCATGGCTAGGAAGAATTAATATCGTCAAAATGGCCATCCTGCCGAAAGCAATATACAAATTTGATGCAATCCCTCTCAAATTACCAGCAACATTCTTCAATGAATTGGAACAAATAATTCAAAAATTCATATGGAAACACCAAAGACCCCGAATAGCCAAAGCAATCCTGAAAAAGAAGAATAAAGTAGGGGGGATCTCACTCCCCAACTTCAAGCTCTACTACAAAGCCATAGTAATCAAGACAATTTGGTACTGGCACAAGAACAGAGCCACAGACCAGTGGAACAGATTAGAGACCCCAGAAATTAACCCAAACATATATGGTCAATTAATATTTGATAAAGGAGCCATGGACATACAATGGCAAAATGACAGTCTCTTCAACAGATGGTGCTGGCAAAACTGGACAGCTACATGTAGGAGAATGAAACTGGACCATTGTCTAACCCCATATACAAAGGTAAACTCAAAATGGATCAAAGACCTGAATGTAAGTCATGAAACCATTAAACTCTTGGAAAAAAACATAGGCAAAAACCTCTTAGACATAAACATGAGTGATCTCTTCTTGAACATATCTCCCCGGGCAAGGAAAACAACAGCAAAAATGAGCAAGTGGGACTACATTAAGCTGAAAAGCTTCTGTACAGCGAAAGACACCATCAATAGAACAAAAAGGAACCCTACAGTATGGGAGAATATATTTGAAAATGACAGATCTGATAAAGGCTTGACGTCCAGAATATATAAAGAGCTCACACGCCTCAACAAACAAAAAACAAATAACCCAATTAAAAAATGGGCAGAGGAACTGAACAGACAGTTCTCCAAAAAAGAAATACAGATGGCCAAGAGACACATGAAAAGATGCTCCACATCGCTAATTATCAGAGAAATGCAAATTAAAACTACAATGAGGTATCACCTCACACCAGTAAGGATAGCTGCCATCCAAAAGACAAACAACAACAAATGTTGGCGAGGCTGTGGAGAAAGGGGAACCCTCCTACACTGCTGGTGGGAATGTAAATTAGTTCAACCATTGTGGAAAGCAGTATGGAGGTGCATCAAAATGCTCAAAACAGACCTACCATTTGACCCAGGAATTCCACTCCTAGGAATTTACCCTAAGAACGCAGCAATCAAGTTTGAGAAAGACAGATGCACTCCTATGTTTATCGCAGCACTATTTACAATAGCCAAGAATTGGAAGCAACCTAAATGTCCATCTGTAGATGAATGGATAAAGAAGATGTGGTACATATACACAATGGAATACTACTCAGCCATAAGAAGTGGAAAAATCCAACCATTTGCAGCAACATGGATGGAGCTGGAGAGTATTATGCTCAGTGAAATAAGCCAAGCGGAGAAAGAGAAATACCAAATGATTTCACTCATCTGAGGAGTATAGGAACAAAGGAAAAACTGAAGGAACAAAACAGCAGCAGAATTACAGAACCCAAAAATGGACTAACAGGTACCAAAGGGAAAGGAACTGGGGAGGATGGGTGGGCAGGGAGGGATAAGGGGGGGGAAGAAGAAGGGGGGTATTAAGATTAGCATGCATGGGGGGAGGGAGAAAGGGGAGGGTGGGCTGCACAACACAGAGAGGACAAGTAGTGACTCTACAACATTTTGCTAAGCTGATGGACAGTAACCGTAATGTGGTTGTTAGGGGGGACCTGATATAGGGGAGAGCATAGTAAACATAGTATTCTTCATGTAAGTGTAGATTAAAAATTTAAAAAAAAAAAAAAAAAAAAAAAGAAAGAAAAGGGGGATTACTCCTTAACAGGATAAAACTATTGGTAAATCAAAGATCAACGCATGCTTTAAATATCCTTAATGTTGATCACTTAAAGGGTGTCAGATGATCAGCTATGGAGGTACTCTTTTCTGATAATATTCCTTTCTCTTAATTAAAAAAAAAAAAAAAAAAAGTTACTGTGTGCTGACCTCCAATGAGTTCTGCACAGTGGTATAGAGGGCATGTCAAAGTGTGGGCAAAGGGTCTGTTTGTTTCTACGCAGAAGATCAAGGCCTAGCTTGGATACCCAGAAAATGAACTAAGATACGATATGAGGAGGAGCTTCCGGCATCAGCACTCTCTGGAGGACTCGTGCCGGGGGATGATCATCAAAAAGCCTCCACAGGGATCCGGACGATGCTGCGGTTGTGGCTGCATCCAGCCCACCATCTCCTGGACTTGCCATAAGAAGGAGGAGGGAGATGTCTAGGCTGGCATGTGCATACAGTGAGACAACGAATTTGACTGGATCTGTACTGTTGGAACTCAACCAGGAGTTGGGAGGGGTGCAAGTTGTAGCACCCCAAAATCTCATGACTATAGACTATCTATGGTTAAAAGAACATATGGGATGTGAACAGATCCCAGAAATGGGCTGCTTTAATTTGTCTGATGGTTCAAGTACAGTTGGAAAATATCCATCATATCATAGATAAATTTTCACAAATGCCTAGGGTGCCTAAATGGTTTTCTTGGCTTCACTGGAGATGGCTGGTAATTATAGATTTGCTTTGTTTATGTCACCGTATTCCTATTATGTTAATATGTGTGTGCAAATTAGTTAGTAGTTTAAAACCTATACATACTTAAGGTACTATACAAGAAGATATGTCAAAGAAATAATCAATCCTCCCAAGTTTCCTTCATATGCTACATCTATAGCTTTTCTTCTTCCTTCCTAATTACAACCCTTAAAATAGAATTCGTGCCTCATATCGAATTTACCGAGTATCATAATTCCTCCAGGTGGTAAAGATACCTCAAGACAAGTGCTGGGCATAGAAGCCACAGGGCATAAATCTGCAAAGAAGTAAAAAGCCAACCTTTTCAAACAATATGGCTTCTCTCTCACTTACCAACTTTACATTTCCGTGTATGGCCCCGGAAGATGACTGGTTGCCAGAGATGGGTAAGATTCCTCAAGAGAGGAACAACCTAAGACAGGCACAGTCGCAGGAGGGCCATCAGGTGAGAAATCGGGGAACAACAGTGGTGAAGCTTAGAACCTCACCCCCCCGTTTTGAGAGAAAGCTTCTGTATCCGTGGATGTTTTATTGCCCCTGTCTAGCTCGGATTAGCACATAGTCTACAGGCACACACATGATCATCTACAATTGCTCTCTTACAACAGTAATCTGTGTTTTCTACCTTTATCTTACATCTGCCTACCACTTCAGCATTTTATTAAAATTAAAATTAATAATAACAAAGGGAGAAATGTGGGATCCACATATAAATCAAGTATAAAAATCAAACGACTATTCATTTTTGACCTGATTGTTTGTAGTTCATAATGCGTGATCAAAACCGAAAGTTTCTGTAATGAATGCCCCTGTACTGTTCACCATGTAAGAACTTATTCACTATGTATGAATTTCTTCACCATGTAAGAACTTGTTCATCATGCTACAGAAGATTGGAGACTGACAAGAATTAGGCTTGAGATGGATTAATGATTGTGCATTGAGCATTGACTCCCCTATACAGAATTTTATTGTTGTTAACAACCATTTGATCAATAAATATGAGAGATGCCCCCTCAAAAAAAAAAAAAAAGTAGGATCTAGCCTGAACCTCTCTGGGAACTTCTGCAGCAAGAGGCAGCAGTCCTGAGTGCCCTTTATGCAGTCGTGCTAGGCTCGGAATCATAGCATATGACCACCTCACACAATGGGTGCCATGGATACAATCACTGCTCTTGCTCCCATCACGGAAGACTGTTACAACCAATAAGCCAAGCGCTGTGCTTTGTTAGAGGCATTTCGAATGTATTGTTTACTTTCATCTTCATAATCATTTAACCAAGGAAGCCTGGTTTTACTGTCCCTATATTAGCATTGAGGGAATCACATGCCCAGTGAGGTTAAATCGTTTCCTGAGGTGCCCTGCATTAAGGGACAGAAGTGCCATGATGTGAACCCAGTACTCCGTCTCTCTGAATCCTGTGGTCTTAGCCACTATATGTACTTCACTGCGATTAAAAAGACATTTTTATACTTGACACTGATCACAATATTCAGACAAGAAAGCATAGTGAAGATGACATTATGGCAATGTTATTGAAAAAGCCATTGCATATACCCAGTGTCCACATGTCAAAAAATTATCTATACAAAATCTTTACAGTAATTCCCATCTTAAATATAAATTCTCAGGGGAGAAGGTTTGCTGAGATATCAATTGCAGTCAGTAGGATAGCAGTTGTACTAACTGCATTTTTACACCCTAAAACACTAAGAAGGAATCCGGCAAAATAGTTTTATGCTCAACAGCATGGGGCACATTTTATTAAGTTTGAAGGGTTCTGTCAATAAACCTTTTTTATGAACGTATAATTTTCATACAGTTATATTTTATTCAGCTGGGAAAATCTACCTTTGTCAAAACAGGAAGAGATTATTTTGGTGCCAAAATTTTCCTGACAAAGCACACATAATGTGGGTGGGCTGCGGGCATTGGGAAGGCAGTATAACACGGTGAGGATCAGCACTTCTACAGCATATTCCTGTGCTGATGGACAGTGACTCTTACCGGCTATGTGGTGGGGCTTGATCATGCGCGTAGTCAAGTAACCATAATGTTGCTCATGGAACCGTTTAGTACTGACTCCAAAATCAAAAGAAACACACAGTACACCTTGGTTCTGGATTCCATTTTCCCTCATGTTGTCACCTGGGTCAGCGTCCACCTCACCGGAACGACAGCTGCTCCTCTCAGCATACACACTCTGTCTCTAGGAAAGAGGCACCACTGTGACATCATGGCATCTCCAGGCAACAGTGATGCTCTCTCAAACTCCACCCCCAGATGGCGGGCACTGCACAGCCGTGGGGAGCTGCACCATCTTAGCAAACATTAGTGGTTCTTGCCTACATAGGTATACATATATGAATATGTATATAATGATTTCACTCATCATTGGAGTATCAGAACAAAGAAAACACTAAAGAAAAAAAGAGCAGCAGTCTCACAAAACCTAAGAATGGACTAAAAGTTACCAAAGGGAAAGAGACTGGGGTAGATGAGTGGGAATGGTGGGATCAGGGAGGGGGGAACAAAGGACACATTAGAATTAGCATATATAATGTGTGAGGGGGGGCACGGGGAGGGCTGCAAAACACAGAAAAGACAAATGGTGAGTCTACACTACCTTACTCTGCCCACGCTGATGGGCAGTGACAGCAATGGGGTATCTGCGGGGAGCTTGGTGATGGGGGGACTCGAGTAAACATAATGTTACCATGTAATTGTAGATTAGTTATAAATAAATAAAAAGATACACACAGATGATAGATAGATAGAGATGATTCGATGATTACACAGATAGGTAGATAATAAATGAGTGAATGAAGGAATGAAAGAATAAATAAGTACATACATACATACATACATACATAAAGAAAGAAAGAATGCAGCAGCCCAGTTTAAAAAGGACACATGCACCCCTATGTTTATCACAGCACTATTCACACTAGCCAAGCTAAGTGTCCATCAGAAGAGGAGCAGTGGAAAATTATTCTGCCAGATGAAGAAACAAATCCTACCATTTACAACATGGATGGAGCTAGAGGGTATTATGCTCGGTGAAATAAACCAGACGGAGAAAGACAACAAGAACCAAGAGAAACTGAATGTGCAAAACAGCACCAGATTCACAGAACGCAAGAATGGACTGACAGTTACCAAACGGAAAGGGACTGGGCTGGATAGTTGGGAATGGAGGTATCAGGGGAGAGGGAAAGAAAGTGTGCATTACGATTAGCATGTATAATGTGGCGGGGGTGTCACAGGGAGGGTTGCACAACACAGAGAAGACAAGTAGTGATTCTACAGTATTTTACTATGCTCATGGACAGTGACTGCAATGGGGTATGTGGGGGGCATCTTCGTGATGGGAGGAGTCTAGTAAACCTAATGTTACTCATCTAATTGTCTATTAGAGGAAGGAAGATACACAGATAGATAGATAGATAGATAGATAGATAGATAGATAGATAGATAGTAAAAGAATGAATGAATGAATGAATGAATGAATGAATACGTACATGCATGCGGAAGGAAGGAAGGAAGGAAGGAATGCAGCAGCCCAGTTTTAAATAGACACATGCATCCCTATGTTTATCACAGCACTATTCACAATAACAAATCAACATTCATATAAGCAACATTATGGTTACTAGACTTCCCAGATCATCAAGTCCCCCTCACATACCCCATTACAGTCACTGTTCATCATCATAGTAAGATGCTGTAGAATCACTGCCTGAATTCTCTGTACTATACTGACTTCCCCACCGGAATACCCCCCACGTTATGGGAGCTAATCGTAATGTCACCTTTCCACCCTTCTCCCTCCCTTCCCAACCAGCCTTCCTAGTTCCTTACCCTTTGGTAAATGGGGGATGGGGGGAGTGTACTAAACATGTTACCCATGTAATTGTACATTAATGATAAATAAAAAAATAAATGAATGAATAAGTAAATAACTAGTAGTATGCAGCAGCCCAGTTTCAAAACAACACGTGCACCCCTATGTTTATCACAGCACTATTCACAATAGCCAAGCTCCGTGTCCATCAGTACATGAACAGTGGAATATTATTCAGCCATATCAAGTAAACAAATCCTACCATTTACAAAACCATGGATGGAGCGAGAGAGCACTAGACTCAGGGAAATAAGCTACGAGGAGAAAGACATATATTAAAGGATTTCACTCGCCTGTGCAGAAGGAGAACCGAGGGAAATCTGAAGAAGCAAAACAGCACCAGTTTCAGAGCCCAAGATTCAACTAACACTTACCAAAGGGAAAGGGATTGAGGTGCACAGGTGGGAATGGAGGAATAAGTGGGGGGAGGGCAGAGATGCGCCCGTTACGATTAGCATGTTCAATGTGGAAGGGAAGAGAAGACAACTAGGGATTCTACAGTATCTTACTATGCTCATGGACAGTGACTGCAATGGGGTATCTGGGGGTATCTTGTGGATGGGGGGAGTTTAGTAAACTACATGTTACTCATGTACTTGTAGACTAATTATAAATAAATAAACAACAAATTACTAACTAAATACATATATACATCCACACATACAGAAATGAATAGAATATACCAGCGCAGACTGAAAAAGAGATGTGCACCCCTCTGTTTATCACAGCACTACTCAGAATAGCCAAGGAAAGGGTCCATCAAAGATGAACAGTGAGTGCAATATTATTCAGCCGTGTGAAGAAACAAATCCTACCAATTGCAACAACGTGGACAGAGGTAGAGGGTATTATGCTCAGTGAAGTAAGCCACACAGAGAAAGAAAAGTGTCAAATGATTTCACTCACATCTGTGGAGTATCACAAGAAAAGAAAAAGACTGGACGAAGAAGACAGTAGCAGCCTCACCGAACCCAAGAATGGACTCACGGTTTCCAAAAGTACTGTGACTGAGGAGCATGGGTTGGACGGCAGGGAAGGGAGGGAAAACGGGGCATTACGTCTAGCACACACAATGTGGGTGGGCCGCCAGCATGGGGAAGGCAGTATATAACACGGCGAGGATCAGCAGCACTTCTACAGCATATTCCTGTGCTGATGGACAGTGACTCTTACCGGCTATGTGGTGGGGCTTGATCATGCGGGTAGTCAAGTAACCATAATGTTGCTCATGGAACCGTTTAGTACTGACTCCAAAATCAAAAGAAACACACAGTACACCTTGGTTCTGGATTCCATTTTCCCTCATGTTGTCACCTGGGTCAGCGTCCACCTCACCGAATGACAGCTGCTCCTCTCAGCATACATACTCTGTCTCTAGGAAGAGGCACCACTGTGACATCATGGCATCTCCAGGCAACAGTGATGCTCTCTCAAACTCCACCCCCAGATGGCGGGCACTGCACAGCCGTAGGGAGCTGCATCATCTTAGCAAACATTAGTGGTTCTTCCCTACATAGGTATACATGTATGGATATGTATATAATGATTTCACTCATCATTGAAGTATCAGAACAAAGAAAACACTAAAGAAAAAAAGAGCAGCAGTCTCACAAAACCTAAGAATGGACTAAAAGTTACCAAAGGGAAAGAGACTGGGGTAGATGAGTGGGAATAGAGGGATCTGGGCTGGGGGAACAAAGGAATTAGAATTAGAATATATAATGTGTGAGGGGGGGCACGGGGAGGGCTGCAAAACACAGAAAAGACAGTGAGTCTACACTATCTTACTACGCTGACGGGCAGTGACGGCAATGGGGTATCTGGGGGAAGCTTGGTGATGGGTGGACTCAAGTAAACACAATGTTACCATGTAATTGTAGATTAGTTATAAATGAATAAATAGATACAGACAGATGATAAGATAGATAGATATAGATGGTCAGATGATTAGACATAGATAGGTAGATAATGAGTGAATGAATGAATGAATAAATAAGTACATACGTACATACATCCATAAAGAAAGAAAGAATGCAGCAGCCCAGTTTAAAAAAGACATGTGCACCCCTATGTTTATCACAGCACTATTCACATTAGCCAAGCTAAGTGTGCATCATAAGGTGAGCAGTGGAGAATTATTCTGCCAGATGAAGAAACAAATCCTACCATTTACAACAACATGGATGGAGCTAGAGGGTATTATGCTCAGTGAAATAAACCAGATGGAGAGCGACAAGTATCAAATGATTTCCCTAACCTGTGGAGCCAGAGAAACAGGAAAAACTGAATGAGCAAAACAGCACCAGATTCACAGAACCAAAGAATGGACTAACAGTTACCAAAGAGAAAGGAGGTATCAGGGGAGAGGGAAAGTGTGCATTACGATTAGCATGTATAATATGGGAGGGGAGTCAGGCTAGGGAATTCCTGCTGTGACATGGATCCACTCTTCATTTTGGTTTTGAAACATGTTTAGTTCTGTGTGTGTATGTGTGTCTTACGTAACTTGGACTTTGGAAAATCACCCTCACACGTTCCCACTTACCCACGAGAGAACGGATTGGGTATCCAGGCCCTCGATCCTGTAGGAATGACAGAAGGAAGCACTCCTGCCTGCTCGTTGATTTCTGAAAATTTAAGCTTGCTTACAATTTATCACGTAGCTTAGAAATATAGGAAAAGATCCTCTTTAATGACAGGCCTGACTCTAACCTAAACTGCTAAAATGTCAAACCATGTTGAGTTACAACTGTGCCCACTTCTCACTGACTGTAGTGTCTGAAGGGTCGCCACCAGACTTAATACAGGTGGAATTCCTAGCTTGTGGAGACGACATTCTAGTTGGAGGGGAGGAAAGAGACAATGAAGATCTTTAAGTTTTCCGGTAGGTTAACGGGCAACAAACAAACACTATGACGAATAAGGCAGTATATGGAGGACTGAGGTTACAGGCAGAGAAAAGCAGGGCTTTCAATATAAACAGTGGACAGGGTATGCCTCACCAGGGAGGTGGGACTTGAACCGTCTAGAAGGAGATGACTAAACCAGGTATCAGAGGAAAAAGCATTCCATAGAATGGGATAAATTACTGAAAACGCCCAGAGGAAGGATACTTGTGGACTTCAGGGAGCAGTTAGTCAAAAAATGTGGCTGGAATACAGTCAGAAAGTGATAAGGAGGGAAAAGAGGACTGAGGAGAGAGAGAATGGGTGGAAGTTCCTGCACCACCATTTATTGGTTTTGTAATCACACGCAGCTGACTCAAGCGTGCAGGTGTCTCAGTGAAGTCAGTGCTGTCTCTACGGCCTAGTTATCTTGCAAGTTTTTTTGCAACATAATGTAGGGAAGTGACATATAAGCCATGTTGTTAACTGTTCTGTACACATAAGGATAGATGGGTAGAAAAAAAAGATGATAGATTATAGATAGATAATCATGTTGTTAACTATTCTGCACATAAGGAGATAGACAAAAAGATTAGATAGATTAGATAGATAGATACTCTAAGATAGATAGATGATTGATAGATAGATAGATAGATAGATAGATAGATAGATAGATAGATAGATAGATAGATAGATAGATGAAAGATAGATAGATATAGATATAGATAGATAGCAATTGATAGAGTTATGGACTGTATTTTTGGGCTCTCACCTCACCTTCTGCAGCTCCTAACCCCCGCCACCACACACACACAAATTCATATTTGAATCGAGTCAGGGTTGAAGCCCCAACCCCCACTGTCATGGTATTGTGAGGTGGGGCCTTCGGGAGGTAATCAGATTTGGAAGAAATCATGAGGGTGTGGATGGAGCTGCCATTACACAATTCAGTGCCATTAAGAGGAAGAGAGGACAGAGCTTTCTCCCTTGACCCTGTGAGGGCACAGCAGGAATGTGGCTGTCTGCAAGCCAGAAAAGGGGACCTCACCAGGAACTGAATCAGCCTTGCTCTTGGACTTCTGCCTCCAGAACAGTGAGAAATCAGTGTCTATGGATTAAGCCCCCACTCTATGAGAGTTTGGTTATCAGCTTGAGTAGACTGACACAGATATGTAAGTAAACAGATACACACTTAGACGATGGACGGAGAGAGCCTACGCATAGATATTTGTGCTTATGTGTCTGCGTAGGTGTCTGCGTCCATCCGTCTCTTCACTGTGAAGTCTGCTTCCTATGAGGGGAATGCCAGAAGCCTAACTTGTGCAAGTTTTTTTCTTAAAGTGTGGGCTGCAGCTTCCAATACCTGGGGTCTCAGTTAAGTCTCAGCCTTGTTTGGGAAACAGGGCCGACAGGGATACACTGTCCCTGACACCCGAGGAAGGGAGGCCACAAGCAGGGAACCCAGAGGGACCTTCGCAGCGGGGAAGAGCCTGCCCAGGCAACCTCCTGTGGGAACTCTCCCCCAGCCACCTCCTGCGGCTCCATGTCTTTGAACAACCCTCACCCAGGCCCCTGCACAAAGCACATCGGGTGTTCACGGAAGCTGAGGGATGAATGGAGCTTCAGCTGGGTGTGTGTCTTTGTGGGGGGGGGTGGGGGGAGACGGATTTGGAGTGTGTGTGAGTGTGTACCACTGCCCGTATCGGTCGAAAAAGTAATAAAGGGACACGCGACAGAGCGAACAGGTTGCAAACAGTGACCAGAAAGGGTAAAGTTTTCCACTAGCTTCTGGGGATTTCCTTGCCATGTGTTTCTATACAATTTTAGGAAGATTTTGCTGGAAATGTCGCTGGGACCACTCTGAACCGTCACGGTAGTTAAGATAATAAGCCAGGACAGGAGAGCAGCAAAGAGCACCCACAGTGTGTCTCCTATGTATCAGGCCAAGCGCTACAGGCTTTACTTCTACCACCTCACTTCATCTCTCACCATGACTGACGTGGGATGACCTTATGCACCACCTTCATACATGAGCAAAAAGTTACCTCAGAATCACTTCCCTTCACAGAAAATCAATAAATGCAAGGACATAAACATTCCTAGAATTCCGGCCACCACCACCCAAATCTTTACGCTCAGCATCCTTTCAAATCCAACAGAAACATAGCTCTAAATGCTATACGATTCCATTTCAGGTAGACCTCACTCCCATCTAAATGCCGAAATGCACTGAAACTCCACCTACACCTTGACAGCAGAGGGGAGCAGTTTCCCCAGGAGCTAGCTGGCCTGCCACCTCACAGTGAGCCCACGGGCCACTAGCCCACACCAGCCCTGCGTGTCCCCAAAAGGTGGCTCCCTTAAGCTGTGACTACACATGCTCTCTTGGAGATGGGCAGCCAAGCAGGGCCACCGAGGTGACATCGGTGTGCAGGCACACAGACCAACTACTGGGCATGCACCTGCCTCAGCGCCAGCAGGCCAGCCGGGGTGCCCCGTGTGGGGCCTCGGATCTGCCCCGCAGCTCACGCAGCCACCCCAGCAGGGCCAGCCCCAGGGCAGAGCACCCGGAGGGTCCCCGCCCGCACCGGTTAGAGAGTCCAGGTGGCCACCTACCCCCAGCGGACTCGTGCCACCTACCCAGATGTTCCAACCCATGGCCACTCCTCTCAAGACCCAAAGACACAGCTAACTCACAGAAACAAACACAAGGAATCAAGAATGAGGAGACAGAGGAATCTCTCTGTGCCTAGTGACAGTACGTTGACAAAAATGGGCAAAATAAATAAATAAGTAGATACATTAGGTAAATGGATAGATTAGACCGATAGATTGATGGAGATGATAGATAAGATAGATACAAAGATAGATAGAATGACAGATTAGACAGATGATATAGATACATATGGAGAGATTAGATAGATTAGGCAGATTAGATAGATGATAGATTAGGTGGACAGATCAAACAGACACCTACAGACACATATAGATAGACGATAGGTAGACAGATTGATAAGATGACGGACTAGATAGATGATAGATACATTAGACAGATTAGATAGATGATATAGATTCATATAAATTAACTAGACACATTGATATAGATACATATACATGATAGATAATAGACGGATAGGTGATAGATTAGGTAGTCTGGACAGATAGACACATAGATGACAGTAGATAGATGATAGTGGAGAGATTAGATAGATAGGTAGATAGATAGGTAGACAGATAGACAGACAGACAGATAGGAAAGCATAATACTAAACAAAGCTATAGCTCATAACCAGGAGAGCAATGATGAAAGCACAGAGAGGAACTACATATAAAAAGAAGAAAAAAATCAAGTTTAAGAAGTGCAATAAGGAAACAGCTATCAATTATCACACTAAAGGGAAAAACTTTAAATGCTCCAATCGAAAAACACAGGGTTGAATGAATGGATGAAAACTCAAGACCACCTACGTGCTCCCTTATAGGAAGCTCACTTGAGATCCAAGCACACAAACTACAAGCTGAAGCAGTGGGAAACGTACCCTACAGAAGTGAAACCGAGAAAGAAAAAGAACAAAACTTTAAAGATGGCTTGGTAGGATTAAAGATGGCAGGCAGCGTGAGAGGGGAGGCAGAAACCTCCTCCGAAAACCACATACATACATACATACATACATACATACATACAGTATGGGAATATGACAACTACACCAGATCCTGGAAGAGAAGCGGGAAAGAAGGCTGCCGTGGCAGGCCGTCACCTCAAGGTGGAGGGTGATGTACCAAGGCCGTGATCCAGAGGGACCCCGCCAGCACTTCTTCCTGCACCCGAGCTCAGCGGAGGGAGGAAGAGAAACGGAGCCGGGGAGGCGGGTGGAGGCTCAGGACCGCTGAACACCCAGCCCTGCAGATCTGCTCTGGGAGCACGAACCTACCTTACAGGATGCTCTGGAGGACGATCGGTGGGGTCGGAAAGCGAAGACGGGTGGAATACTTGGAGAGACTTGACATTCCTGCCACTTGCGGAACACAGGGAGATCCACATCCGGCCGCTGTGGGGCAAAAGAAAGGCGGGCAGTCTGAGAGGCTTCGTCACAGCGAGAGAGCTGCGAAACGGGCAAGGGTTGCTCAGAAGAAAGCACAGGTGCGCAAAACTGTCCCGGTGCACTCTGCCCCGTAGGTGGGGGAACTTTTAGGAGCTCCGGGCGCTCCAGACCCCTGGCTGGCTATGCAGCTCCAAGGCCTCCCCACCATGATGTGACTGATACACAACACGGCCTGCTGCACCTTCCTCCCCAACAGCACCGGCTCGCAAAGAGGCTGCCCCCTCCATCGCACCAGGCCAGCGACAGGACGGCCCCACCTATGGCAGCTACAGGTGCAAAGCACAGAGGCTTCTCCCTGCGTGCTCCGCAAACTGGCCCCGGCAGTGGAGACAGGCACTGCGGCCGGGAAGCAGGAGAGGCCTCTTTCCTCCTGCGGGCACCGGCACCGCTCCCGTGACCCCTGCCTGCCATCACCCCAAGGACTGAGCAGCTCCAGAGACAAAAGCTTCTGGGCGCTAGAGGGTGCCACCTACAAATAGGAAACGTCAAAGTCAAAGGAACCTGCTAACTGGACTCGAGCAATCTTCGTGAAAGGGATCTCAACATAAAAATCAGAAACATGCTCAAGGAGCTACAGCAAAAAATTGCCCCTGTCTCTTGAGCATAATTACCTCTCTTTCTCTCTCTCTCTCTCTCTACCAGGAGCACTTTTGAGGCCTTGTTCTGAGAGGGACGCTGGGACAGCCCAGAGCTCTCAGGTCCACCCCGGCCGGTGTCAGGGCCGTCCCACAAGGGGTCTGACCGAACTGCAATGGGGGGACGCCGCACGTGTAACTCCACAGGAGATAACAGTGCCGCACGCTAAGCCTTCCCATGAATGGCTAGAGGCTAGGTGACTCCACCGATATCAGGTGATGGCTACATCCCAGGCCTCATTTCCGTGGCAACCTTTTCTCCCTATGAACCTTGATACTATCAGTCTCCACCATCTCACTTCTCAGTTTAGGCTCGATGTTCCTGTATCACATCTTCTCTTCGTTTCAGTTTTCTCGGCGGGTTGGTGTCCTGAAAAACAAAAAAAAAAATTGAATCAGAATTGGAATGAAATGGCAGGGGGTATAAGATTCTATTTAAAACACCATCAGCAGAACAAAGACATCTTACCGTATGGGAGGATGATATTCATAGATGACACATCCGATGAGGGGTTGACATCTAAAATACATCATAAGTGCTCAGGCACCTCCACACACAAAAAGCAAATAAACCAATCACAAAATGGGCAGAGGATCTGAGCAGACACCTCTCCAAAGAAGAAATTCAGGTGGCCAACAGGCACATGAAAAGATGCTCCATGTGCCTAGTCATCAGAGAAATGCAAATTAAAACCACAATGAGATATCACCTCACACCAGTCAGGATGGCCACCATCCAGAAGACACACAACAGACGCTGGCAAGGTTGTGGAGAGAGGGGAACCCTCCTACACTGCTGGTGGGAACCTAAGTCAGTTCGTCCATTGTGGAAAGCAGTGTGGAGGTTCCTCAAAAAGCTCAAAATAGAAATACCATTTGACCCAGAAATTCCACTTCTAGGAATTTACCCTAAGAATGCAACAGCCCTGTTTGAAAAAGACAGATGCATCCCTATGTTAATCGCAACACTATTTTCAATAGACAAGAAATGGAAATGGCCATCAATAGATGAATGCATAAAGAAGAGGTGCTACATAAAAAGAAGGACAAAAACCACACGATCATCTCCATAGATGCTGAAAAAGCGTCTGACAAAATTCAACATCCACTCATGGTAAAAACTCTCAACAAAATGGGTAAAGAGGGCAAGTACCTCAACATAATAAAGGCCATATATGATAAACCCACAGCCAACATCATACTGAACAGTGAGAAGCTGAGAGCTTTTCCTCTGAGATTGGGAACAAGACAGGGATGCCCCCTCTCACCACTGTTCTTCAACATAGTACTGGAAGTCCTAGCCAGAGCAAGTAGACAAAACAAAGAAATACAAGGAATCCAGATTGGTAAAGCAGAAGTCAAACTGTCACTACTTGCAGATGACATGATATTGTACATAGAAAAATCCCTAAAGACTCCACTCCAAAACTACTAGCACTGATATCGGAATACAGCAGAGCTGCATGACACAACATGAACACACAGAAATCTGTGGCTTTCCTACACACTAACAGTGAACTTAAAAGAAAGAGAAATCAGGAAAACCACTCCATTCACAATTGAATCAAAAAGAATAAAATACCTAGGAAGAAACCAAACCAAGGAAGTGAAAGACCAAAACCCTGAAAACTATAAGACACTCTTCACAGAAATTAAAGAGGACACTAACAAATGGAAACTCATCCCATGCTCTTGGCTAGGAACAATTAATATCATCAAAATGGCCATCCTGCCCAAAGCAATATACAGATTTCATGCAATCCCTATCAAATTATCAACTGCAGTCTTCAACAAACTGGAACAAATAGTTCACAAATTCACATGGAAACACCAAAGACCCCAAAGCAATCCTGAGAAGGAAGAATAAATTGGGCGGGTGGGGGTGGATCTCGGTCCCCAACTTCAAGCTCTACTACAAAGCCACAGTAATCAAGACAGTTTGGCACTTGCACAAGAACAGAGCCAAAGACCAGTGGAACAGAATAGAGACTCCAGACATTAACACAAACATATATGGTCAATTAATACATGATAAAGGAGCCATGGACATACAATGGGGAAATGACAGTCTCTTCAACAGATGGTGCTGGCAAAACTGGACAGCTACATGTAAGAGAATGAAACTGGATCACTGTCTAATCCCATACACAAAAGTAAATTCAAAATGGATGAAAGACCTGAATGTCACTCATGAAACCATAAAACTCTAAGAAAAAAACATAGGCAAAAATCTCTTGGACATAAACATGAGCGACTTCTTCATGAACATATCTCCCTGGACAAGGGAAACAAAAGCAAAAGTGAAAAAGCTGAAAAGCTTCTGTACAGCAAAGGACACCATCAACAGAACAAAGTTATCCTACAGTATGGGAGAATATATTCATGACAGATCCGATGAAGGGTTGACATCCAAAATACATAAAGAGCTCACACACCTCGAGATAGAAAGCAAATACTCCAATCAAAAAATGGGCAGAGGAGCTCAACAGACACTTCTCCAAAGAAGAAATTCAAGTGGCCAACAGGCACATGAAAAGATGCTCCATGTGGCTAATCACCAGAGAAATGCAAATTAAAACCACAATGAGATATCACCATATCACCTCACACCAGTCAGGATGGCCACCATGCAGAAGCCACACAATAGACGTTGGCAAGGTTGTGGAGAGAGGGGGACCCTCCTACACTGCTGGTGGGATCCTAAGTCAGTTCGTCCATTGTGGAAAGCAGTGTGAAGGTTCCTCAAAAAGCTCAAAATAGAAATACCATTTGACCCAGAAATTCCACTTCTGGGAATTTACCCTAAGAATGCAGGAGCCCAGTTTGAAAGAGACAGATGCACCCCTATGTTGATTGCAGCACTATTTACAATACCCAAGAAATGGATGAAACTGAAGTGTGTCCATCAGGAGATGAATGGATAAAGAAGAGGTGGTACATACACACTATGGAGTTTCATTTAGCCATAAGAAGGAAACAAATCCTACCACCACTTGCAACAACACAGATGGAGCTAGAGGGTGTTATGCTCAGTGAAATAAGCCAGGAGAGAAAGACAAGTATTGAATGATTTCACTTCTCTGTGGAGTATAAGAACAAAGTAAAAATGGAAGGAGCAAAACAGCAGTGGACTCACAGAACCCAAGAATGGACTAACAGGTACCAAAAGGAAAGGGACTGGGGAGAATGGGAGGGAAGGGAGGGATAAGCACAGGTAAAAGAAAGGGGGTATGACGATTAGCATGTATAATATGGGGGGACATGCGGAGAGCTGTGCAACAGAGAAGACAAGTAGTGATTCTACAATATCTTACTACGCTGATGGACACTGACTGTAATGGGGTTTTTGGGGGGGACTTGGTGAAGGGGGACCCTAGTAAACATAATGTTCTTCATGTAATTGTAGATTAATGATAACAAAATAACAATTAAAAAAATAATAAATAATAAAAATGAATGAAGTTCTTAGACATAAATCTAACCAAGGAGGAGAAAGACCTGCATTCTGAAAACTATGAGACACTGATGAAAGAAACTGAAGATGACACAAATACGTAAAAATGCTATTCCATGCTCATGGGCAGGATTAGTCAATATGGTTAAAATGACCGTAATACCCCCAAGCAATCTACTGATGCAATGCAATCCCTATCAAATACCAATGGTATTTTTTTTACAACACTAGAGAAATGAACATAAAATGTGTATGGAACCACAAAAGACCCCGAATAGCCAAAGAAACCTTTAGAAAGAATAATAAAGCTAGAGGGACCATGCTCCATGACTTCAAACTGTACTGTATAGCTACAGTAATCAAAGAGTAAGTACTGGTACAAAATCAGACACAGCTCAATGGAATAGAACAGATGGCTCAGAAATAAACCTACACTTACATGGTCAGTTAATATATGACAAAGAAAGCAAGAATACACAATGGTGAATAGACAATCTCCAAAAATCGTGCTAGGAGAAAAAGACAGCCTTAAACAATGGAATGAAACTGCATTGCCATCTTACACCATATACAAAGTAAACTCCAACTGGTTTAAAGACCTAAAATAAGACCAGAAACCATAAAATTCCTAAAAGAAAGCATGGGCAGTAAACTCTTGAACATCGGCATTAGAATTTTTTTCTAGATACGTCTCCCCAGCAAACAAAACAAAAAGCAAAAATAAACCAGTGAGACTACACCAAACTAAAACATTCACAGCAAAGGAGGCCATCAACAATGTGAGAAGACAACCTAGTGAATGTGAGAATGTGTTTGCAAATGACATATCTGATAAGGGACTAATACCAAAAATACAGAACTCATACAAGTCAACACCAAAAACAAATGAAAAACAATGTGATAAAAAACTGAGCAAAGGGCCTGAACAAACATTTTTCAAAAGGAGGCA